CGAAATGGTTTCACAGAACAAGTCTCTAAGTCCATATGTGAAATTTCAGATAGAGGACCAAAAAATTCTCTCAGTTCCAAGGATAGAGATGAGAGGAAATTATAGTTAATTTCTCTTGTCATTATCACAGTCCACCTAGAGCAAACATGAGCAAAATGGAATCTAAGGTAGCATGAATTCAGGATTTCTACCATGACCTCTCCTACACACCAGGGAGCAGCAGCGGCACAGGGAAAGGAAGCAGGAACACCCCACTCTGCCAGGGGGCAACTTCCTCAGGGCCAGTTCTCTGCAGCAAAGAACTGACTTGGTAGTGCCTCAGCTCATCAGCTTGCTCAAAAAATACCAGAGGGAGCAACAGAATTTCTCCCTGGTATTTTCAGACAGCATCTCTTTTGAATAATACCACCTCTACTTCCAATCCTCGTCAAATATTCTAAAGTATGACACTTGACTTGGGGTCATAATCCATTGAACAAGTCTGTCCTCATGGTTTTATTGGAGAGATATGGAGAGATCTGGAGAGATTTATCTGCTGGAGAGATTTATCTCACAGCAGCCCCTGATGGCCTCAGGTGAATAAGTGTATTATCCCCTCATGCAATACCTGGTTTGATGGGCAAAAGTGACTTTGTGTAACAAGTCCTGGCAGAGGATCTGCTTAAGAGCTTACTCATCTCATGGAAATCTAAGTAAAAATTCATTAAACAAAACCCAATGTATAATCATCATTGGCATTAATCAGCGACTTCAATGAGAAGATATTTTAAGAAAGTCAAAATAGCTGTGAGTAGAGTAAGTACAGGATTTTGTGATAAAAGAGAAAGGGAGAATCATGCTTGTTCATTACATATTCCCATGAAAACCTTCTCCCTTGGTAAAGATACCCATATTAATACATGTTATAGAGGGGTGGAAATGCAGAGCTTCCGAGCTCATTACACCAACCAAATTCTGAAATAGCCTCAGCCCTGTGTTATATATGGACAGTGAATGCTCCAACTCACCCAAAATTTGCAGACAACTGAAGACTGAAGGGCAGAGGAAACAACACTGCACTTACACACTTACTGGTGGAATGAGTAGAATTGAAAATTAATACTGATAAACTCTTTTTTTAGGCACATGCTTCTTTATCTGGGTCCAAAGAAACATCAGGGAGGAACTTCTGGTTAGAAAACTAGGCCAGAACGAAAGCAGCTTTTCAGTGTGCAGTAGATGCAAAGTAGATTTGATCAAATTGCTCCTTTTGGAATATTACACAGGATATCTTTTACTTTCGTGAGCTGCTTGTATTATAATCAGTTTGCCCAAGGATTATCTTTTAGCATGTATAATGTCTCACAAAGTGAAGCTTCCCCCTTTCCCCCAGATATGATTGCATCTCCCAGAGTTTATATCAAGGCTAACAATGTCATCTAGATTGAACTGGAAATAAGAAAAGTGCCTTGAAAAGATGCAAGTCTATAATTGCAAATTATGAAGTCTCTAATTAAGGGAAACATTCCCCTATGGGTAGATTGCTGCATGTGATCCTACAATTGCATTTCCTACACTTTCCAGAGCATTTGTTACTGCTCACCACCATCTACAGTAATGTGGCTGTGGTGCAATTCAGCACGACATGTGAATTAAGAACAATTTTTTTTTTCTTTTTCCCAGAAAGGTTCACTGCAGTTCATTTACCTTAAGCAACACATAAATTTTACCATGACAGGGAAGGACTGTAGTCACTTGGCACCAGGGAATGCATGGTGTCAGCCTTGTTCCCACTCTGAAGCCCTGCTGACTGATTAGGTGACTTCAGCAAGTCTCTGAGGTTTTACTAAATTTCAAATATATTCATATTTCCTTGACCAAGGGATTTGCTCTCTCTCTGGAGGTTTCCAATTTTAGATGGCTCTGTAACACTTCTCAAATATTCTCCAAGAAAAACAGGGCTGTCACTCAGAGAGGGAAGTTTCTAGGTGCATGGAGCACTGCTGAGCTGAGGAACACTTGTGATTCCATGGAACAAATTAAATACCATGGCATGGTGAGCATTTCATTGGCATAATATTGACATAAAATAGCATATTTCATTGACATAAAATAGCATAATCCTGCTAGAGGAAAGAGGTGCAGTTACCTCAAAGAAAACTTTGAGTGCTTTGCTTCCAAATAGTATCTGTCTTTTCAATAAATCAAGCAGATCTTTATAGGATTCCCTCTGTAGACCTGTTATGGACAGCAAGCAGCTTCTGTTGTAAATTAAACAACTGAAAACTGTAAAGAGTTAGAGCCCCTCAAAGATTTCAGCATTTTCTGTTGCTAACTTAAGGCAGTCTCTTCTGATTAAATAATCAAATTGCAGGGGCAGATTCTTCATCCAAGGTCTCTCAATCAATTACCAAATAGATCTAAGAATTCCATTTTTCACAGGTAAGATAAGGAGGTAATCCAATTGTATTTGCACACACACACTGGCACACAAAGTTGGAGCATGTGGGTGCATGAACTCAGAAAGGGAAAGAATGATAAGCAGGTTCACCTTTCACTATTCAGATATGAAATCTTTGGTTCTTTGTCATCATTAGTCCACAAAAACATAATTTAAAATTGCAAGGAAAACATGGAATGAAACAGACTCATATAAAAGAGCAACTAGAACTTTGTTAGTTTCTTTTCAGCACACACCATGTCTCTGCCTCTCTTCTTCAGGGATCATAAGTACCAAAATAGAGTGAGAAGCACTTATTCCACTATTCCTTTCCTGCCTGAAACCAGGAAACACTGGAAATCTCAAAGGAAAGACCTTTTCCAACATAAAACCCTTAGGTATGCTTCAAGCAGAGAGTTTTGGATAATTACCTGTCTCTGGGCCAGATTTCCCTAGCAACTCATTGAACTATAGCCTGTGTCTGACCACTGATGAATACAGCTTATTTTTGCTTTCATCTAGGTAAGCATTCCTTCCTTTTCTCTAAATTTTTCAGAAAACACAATAATCAGAAATACTTGAGAGACTGAGGATCCAAAGACTCCTGAAAATGGGACCTAGGTGTTTGGTAATTGATTTTTTAAATGAAAACCCTAAGCACTCAAAGATTAGCTTGTAAAGGTTTTTATCTCTTCTGCATGCAGAGCAGTGTCTAATGTGGTTTTCAGAAAATGGCTAGGTAACTGAACTCCTTCAGAAATGTTTTTCTTGCTGGTTAATTTGTTCTGAAGTCACAAGGAAATCTTCTGGAAAGTTATTTATATCAATAGCTATCAGAGCACTGAAGTCATCCAACCTAATCATCCCCAGAGAGCTGCAACAATGGGAATTATAAATAGCAAAAATATCCTGGATATCATCTCCACTATTTTAAAAACATTGTTTTCATAGAGAACAGTAACTAAGAAGAAATCTCAGGACATAAAGTATCAGAATACGTGCACATTTGTCACTGCCAAGAGGTCTTTCCAAGGGCCAGGTACTTTTCCCTGAGCTAAAGCCATTTAATTGCAATGGTGTCACAATGGTCTGTACATTCTCTGCCTGGCTCCTGGATTCTCTCTCATCATATTATGCAAGGGGAGAGCTGAAACTGTGCTGATAGATAGCCTGGAAATGCAATAGGTTAGACAAGGTAACAAAAAGCACTGTCCTAGCTTCTGGTTAAAAGGAAAATTGCATTCAAGTAGTTGTTAATTTCCAGTCTGTTTGCAGACGGATTCATTTTGCCATCTTCTGCATTGCAGTTTGAGGGTGTCCAGGACAGACTGACCTCTACAAAGTTTCTCTATTTGTTTTCTAACCTGCTTCCCCACACAGCACAAAGTGCCTTAGATAATAGAATATGCATTATTTTAATAATTTAAGCATTTCTTTATTTTGGTGGAGTTACACATTTGCCCTTTCTGATGAGGACTGCCTGAGAAAAGCTGGGATCTCAGACCCTTTTCATTCCTTTGATAGTATTCAGAAGATCCTCCAAATCCAGATAAAACCAACCAAAGCTCTCCATACTTGTTGTTCCTTACATTATTGTATAAATTTTCTAATGCAGAGAAAAATTGAAGTGGTGAATCAGATGGCATGAAGAAAGCCCTAACTCCATAATGTGTGAAAAGTTATAAAGCTAAACTTCAATATCCAGGTTGAAATTTCTTCTTCTTTGACTTGGTAATTTTTTTTTTTTTAAATTAAGTTTGGTAGAAAATAGTTCAGCCATTTTTGGAGCAAACTCAGTGCAGGGTGGCTTCACCAACATTCATATTTTTCATCTGTTTTCTGAAGAGCCATAGTGATTTATAAGAGAAGCTTGAAATCTGGCAGTGAGACAATCCCCAAGTTATAATGGTATCTTTGTCCCTAGGAAAATCCATTCCTAATCAGCCATGTTAGAAATTACAGAAAAAATCCCAGTTGGTATTTACAAAGTAGAAACACATTTTGATTTTCTGTGTTTCAGCTGAAGTGTGCAAGACCTGAGCCTGCTGAGCCTCTTGTCCTGGGCAGGTACTACATGTCTATAGGCACAGCTCAGGGCAGGTTTATCTTGAACAGAGTTTTTGTTTTCTTACAGCAAAACTCTGACATAAACAAAAAAGCATAGCAGGGAAGGAAAAGCTAATTAGGAATTAGTTGGGTATTAGAGACTCCTAACATTATTAGACAGCATTACAGCCTTTGAAACTCAGCCTGCACAATAATAATTTCCCTAAAATTTAAGGGCTTATTCTCCAGTTGTTCTAACTCAGCTCTATTAATATCACTGGAGTTACATTAGTTTGCCCTGACTAATATCCTTTAGTTATGCAGACAAGCAAATAAAATTACTTTAGCTGTTCTTTTAAATTCATTCCCAAACACCATCTGAAAGGCTCCCTCAGTACAAAAAACAAACCCCAAACACAGGACCCCGATGCAGCCCTGAACTGGCTTCACATTCCATATTGAGGGTCAATGGGAGTTTCACAAGGATACCCTCGGTCACTGCTTCCTCACAGCCACTTCGGAGGGAGGGGAAGAAAGGGTTTGAAAAACATTCCAGATTTCAGCTGAGTTTTTGTAGCTGTGCAGACACAGAAGTTGCTGAAATGTCCGGAGGGACAGCCTCAGCAAGCCTGTGACCTTCTATGACAAACCAGACCATGGCATTTCAGAGGGGATTTAGCTGGGATTGTTAAACATGTGCCAAAAAGAGAACTGCTTCTTGGATTTTTTCAATCAAGTAGCACTATATTTGGACTGGAAACAGCCTGTGGATGAGCAGGAATAACCATTAGAAGGCAAGTGAAAAGTTTCAAGCAGATACTACAGTCAAAGAAGAAACAACGCGAAGGTATCTGGGCAAGTTTCCATACTGACTGAAGCAACACTTTTTCCCATGACATCAGACTCAAAACAACCAATATATTATAGTCCATATGTTGATTAAGGAAAGCCCAAGCCGTGCAGAGCCATGCACCAGCCTTCTGAACAGCAGCTGAACAAAAGCTGGATCGCTTGCAAGCCATGGGAGTTAATCAAACAAATAAAAAGCCCCAGGTTTTCAGGATAAGGCACCTGGGTCAGACTTCTCAGCACGATGAGGTTGTGAATCCTGAGGTAAGACTGAAAGCAAACTGCCTGGATCAAAGCTATGCAGTCTGACTAGACGACAAGGGCAATAAGTAAACAGTGCTTTGAAAATGCAGCAGCCAAAAGGCTCAGAAAACTGTAAAGTTGGTTGCAGATAATGTGCTCAGAGAACCTGGAGTTCTCTGCCTACCTGAGGTCATACGGCATTTGCATGAGAAATTTGGACTTTGGAATGGTTTGCAGTCAGAGTTCAGAAGAGCTTTTGGCAGGTTAAGCATGTTCCCAGTAAGATGATGCTGAGGATAAACATGCAAAAGAAATATATAAATGCTGTTTTCACAAGAATAGTGCTGCTTTCTTAGAACTGCCTGTATTTTAGGGAGGAAGGCTAGAACGCAGTTCTGATGGGATGCCAATACAATCCATCGAGAGCAGTTCGTAAATCACAGCTTAGCAACTGAAAAGGACATGGTACATTTTCAAATACGAAACAAAAACAGAACCATGCTCCTCAGGAAAGAGGTACTTGTTTAGCATGTAATGATGTTGTTTACAAAAGGATTGGGAGTTTAACTCTTACTGTAAAATGGCCTAATAACATAATAATTACTGCATACAGCTGAATTCACTGAGATATTTTATCAAACCTTGAAGTATCTGATCCATTGATCCTCTGTAATAAGGAACAGGAGGGCACCTTTGATCTTTCTCACAGAATTTAATAAGTCAAAATTAGAAAAGAGCCCTCAAATGAGGACAAATTTGACTAGGAGGATAACTAGGCAAGTTGTTAAATTTTAATTGTATTTAAACAAAATTACCTAAGCTCACAGGTTTAATAATCACAACAAATCAGAAAATAAAATGCTGCATTATTGTCACTGGTAGATTAAAGTGGCAGAACATAGGTTTATAGAAGTATTAAGGGAAAAGAGCATTTCTTTTGTTTACACAGTACTGAACACATTCACAAATCAAGCAAGAAATGCCTTGTTCCTTAGCCAGACTTGGGAAAATGCAATTCACTTAATGATTTTTTTTCTATTTGAAATGATGGATATAGTTAAAAGAGTTGTTTACTAGTTCTGTACATCCATTTTTACTTCCTTATACTGTTTCCCAGTGCTTTAATCCAGGAATGACTTTTTTTTAGTGTCAAACCACACAGTGAAAGTCTCGGCTAAAAAGCCCATATATGTAAACAAATTTGGCAACCACAATCCTTCATCATTCAATTTGGGTCTCAGAAGCCATTTCCTTTAAGATAGATCCTTGTCCACAGGGATCTTTAGACAACAGTAGACTAAATTAATCCCAGGTATTGTCAAGAAAAGAGGCACTGAAATGTGCTGCTTCCAAATAACAGCAACCCTCTGGAGACAGCCGCTACAGCAAGCTGTTATCTGTCAGGAAGAGCCAAGACCCTCAGTATTAGTGATGAGCTCCCACAGCTCTGTGGGCTTCACTGTACATCTGCCACAGTTATTTGGAACACACAGTCTTTTAAAAATTGAATTTTCCTGCCAACTGAGGTGTGTTAACATCTGCCTGCTGCTGCTGTGCTGATCATCAGTGCCTAAATCCTAAGGGAACACTTAACAGCTTTCTTCACAGTTTTGCTTTGCAGGAAGCAATGGTGGCATATTGGCCAAATTTGTTGCATGAAAAACACAAGGGTTTTGAGGAGAAAGTATGCACATCTTTATAAGATTACCTGGATTTTAATTATCTAATTTGGTCTCTAGGTCCAGTCTGAAACCCTTGGTATAGAAATTAAGGACCTGCAGTTTTTCCATACTCACTAGCAAGTCACTCAGTGTATAATGCATATCAATGCTTCTTTACAACTCCAAATAAACGCAAAAGGTAATAACACTGGGTGCTTAACAGCTTACCTTATATAAGATATAGCTAACAGCAACTTGGCTTTCACTCACTATATCCATTCTGCAGATTCATTAAATTCTAGAAGGAAAAAAAAAAAAAAGTAAACTAATCAGGTAGCCTTACCTAATCCTTAGGAAGCCATTCCTGTGAAATTATGGAAAACATGTATAGTAGTCTGACAATTATCAGCCACAAAAGTTATCTTTTAGCCATTGCTCTTCATTTTAAGTTGCTTTTGTACATTCCCCTCAGTGTGAAGAAAGAAGGGAACTCAGCCAGACCCAACTGGGAAGAAACATTCTGAACCTGGTGACAGGGACCTGTGTGCAAGACTGACAGGTCAGTCGTGTTTTCAACAGTGCTACACTTCTGGTCTTCGATGCTTAATTCCTGATGTACGGACAAGGGATGCGAAGGTAGAGACAGACACAGTGCAGTTTAACCTTGCATTTACTGCACTGCACTGAGTACCCATTTCATAGGAAAAATCTACCTTTCTAATCTATTGTATGATTACATTATTGGGATCTTGATTAGGGTCTGTATAAAGCACTGATCACTATTACAAACACTTTTTAGGAGCTTTCTCTATGTTCTTATTCCAAACTCAGGCAAGAAACTTCTGCTCATTTAACAGTAAATTGTTTCAATCACAGCAAGAACCTTTTTCATTATTAATCAGCACAAATTACCCAAGTATTTGTTTCACTGGATACATGTAAAACGTCTCTGTGACTTTGTTTTGCTTTCTGTAGTTACACCACTGGCAATTAAAACCTTTCGGCTCCACAGATCATACTTGCCACAATTTACCTAGAGATTCTGTGAAACTTACTTCAGTGTAAATGCCAGTATGATTTAATAGAAAAAACAGAGATTTTCACATTGTATCTGCTTGTATATTTTATGCACGTGATTGCTTTTCAGATAATACTTATTTTAGTTTAGGAAAAGCAATTGAGTGACAGTAAAATATCAAGAAGCACTGGGCAACGAAATGTTCTGCTGGGCTGAAGCAGCTGTCAAACATTTCTCAAAAATCCTTAAAACCATGTTAGCTGCTACATCTCAGTTTTTGTGCACCTCAGCAGTTCTTCGTTCCGGCTGGAAGCATAAGCCGTGAAACGACTCTCACAGCATTCGGAGTTTGGCCGTAGCCACGGCGTCCTGGAATTGTAACACTGTATTCTTTGGGGTCTATTCAATGCTAAACTAAGTTTCCAAATGTTTCTTGGCTCAGCAGCCATTAACTGGACCTTGAACTTCCCATTTGTATTCAGTGGCGGGGGGCTAAACCTGCCATCTGTTTTGACAAATGTTTTCCATTGCCTCTGCATAGCTGACAGAAAACGAGGCATATTAGAAGTTAAAAATCTCTTTCTGGACCACCAAGAATTCTCTGAGTCCTGAGAAATCCCATCAGAACACAGCTAATTGTAATTCTGTTTGCAAAAGATTTTACCTTGTCATGAGCTGCAGGTCTTAATATCTTCCCAGATCCATATCACTTGTTCTCTGAGCATCTGCCTTCTCTTCATTCCTTTGGGGCAAAAATCTTCACTGAGTGGCTTTTAAAATTTTCAGGCATATTGGGGAAAAAAAAAAAAAAAGGAAAAGAAAAGAAAAAAAAAAAAAAAAAAAAAAGACAGCATCACTTCTACTTGTGTCTTCTGCACTTTTCTCCAGCCTGAACAGTCCCAGCTTTTGGCAGAACCAGGAGAGTCAAAGGAGTTTGTTAAGGGTTGCCAGTTATGATATTAATAAACAAAGAGAGTGTCCAGAAAAATGTAGTCATGAAAATATACAGTTCTTGACTTTTAGTGAGCTTTTCTAGATTCTGTGGAAAATATCTAATAATCAGACACAATTTATGTTGCATAAATTGTCCTACATTATGTCCTACATAAAATGTGCATTTAAAATATTTGAAATGGAGGTGCATAATTAATTGATGCTACCACTACAAGAGAATAAAGGAAAGATGAAAAAATAAGGATGCCTTGCTAAATTACCTCTTTAAGTTTGAGCAGATGAACCACGCCAGCATGGAAAAATATTCTTATGTCATTCATATCACATGTAACAAAACATCCTACCTGTGATTGCTGCCATGTGCCACAGAGCCACTGTGCACATGAATAAATCAAATGCTATGCAAGACATGCAATTAAGCTCAAAAAACTCAGTTTCAGATCTGTTTCAGATGGGAAATTTGTCCACACAGATGTAGCTGTCACTTTTTACAGACTGGACTGTCACCAACAGATTGTAACTAACAACAGCCAGGAGAGCAATATTCCACATCCTTTTCACATGGAGCGTTCGAGTTCCTGGTCATACAGTAGGTTCAGCCATTGCATAGGTGCCAGGAGTCTGTGTGAAGGATCCTGAGAGATTCCCAGCCTTCCCCTGGTAATCACCTGCCCTACCAGGGCACAAGAGAAGTTTTGCTCTTTCCAGATGCATCAGTGGTGACTGTGCCATTCTGTGCCCCACAAAGCATTAATGGTTTCCAGATGTTGCCTCACAGGGTGCTGACACAACTCTTGTACCATTAGAGTATCACACAACAACATTATGAGAAGGATCAGAAACATGGGACAATTTTACAGAATTTGGAATCTGCAGTGACAAGAAGAGCAAAATATGATGCTCCTGTAACAGTGAACTTGCTCAGCGTTACTTCCTAGGATCTTGTCCAGGTCAGGCTGTGCTGCAGCACCAGAAAGGGAGCAACCTTTGAATTCACTGTGCAATTTCTAGCACTAGTTATCATTCCTGAAATGCTGTGTAATTACTTAAGTAATATCATTAATAAGTTATAATAGCTAGGTTTGGTTGAAAATGATACATTCATTTTATATAAAATAGTGAAACTTCATTTTCTCTTTCAATGTATTTAAACACATCAATTTCCTTTATGAAGTAAAAAATTCTTCCATATTTGCCTTTTCTACTTGTCTTCACTTACAAAACCACACTGAGAGAAGAGAAAAAGAGTAGAGTAAAATTTATAAAACTGTTCATATCACTAATTTTTAAATCATCATCAGATTAAATTATAAAACTTTCTTTAGGAAAAAAAGACTGGCAAAAATAAAAGTATAATTTAGAATTTGAAAATACAACAAGAGTAGTATTTAAAGACTTGAGACAGATTTAAAGAAGATTAATTGAAACTTCTCCTGGCATATATGAAAGACTTTAGACCCTGAGAAACCTGCTATTTTTCAGAGATATCATCTCAAATATAAAGAAGAATATAAGGAGTTCTTCACTTATCCTATTTAGAAATTATTCCCTCATCTATGAAAGCAGAGACAACAACTCTGTTTATATAAATGACAATAAAATCAGCCTCTGATTTGTGGCTGTATTTGTGTTGAAAAAGATGACCATGTAACAGCCAGTAAACACAAAACATGAGAAGAGGAGGGAAGCCCAGTGATAGTAACCATAAAAGATTTAAAGAGCAAAACTAAGAAAAAATACGATTTGATCTGTTTTAGTCCATCTGACATTTTTACATCCACATTTAACTAACAGGTCATTAATATCCACACAAATGTAAGCAAGGGAATTTTGAGCCGAGATGTCTTGTTCAAAGCAATAAAAGCTTTATTCACACTCTGCTTGTACCTCAAACATTTCGTAACTTGGCAGCCCTGAACAAGTACTCTGAGAGCTGCCAGTCCAATTGCACAGAACGGAATCAGTCAGCATCTGTTCAAAAAATCCTTGCTCTGCTATGGAAAAAAGCAATTATCATTAAAGTTTTTCCCTCAGAAAAATCTGGCTACACATGCGGGAAAAAATCAGATAGCAAGCTGTGTGCAATAGAGAGTTTTAATTTTCCCTTTTTGCCTTCTAAGTAGAAGAGATTCCTTCAAGTGAAGTCCTTTTGCAGATTATAACTTCCTAAAGAGCCACAAGAGGATTTACTCATCCAAGTTCCCTTAATACAGTTCTGTCCTATCCTGAAACATTCTTAAATGCTGAGATCAGCAGATAGCAAGAACACATGTCAGAAGAGACGTGTTCCTTTTCATTCAGGGGAAGATACCAGGGAGCACTTTTTCAAGTTAGCTATTTGCAATTTGTCAGAAAGTCTCAGCTTCACACTTCAAACAATGGTTTCTGCAGCTGAATTTCTTTGTGCAGACTGTGCTTCAGAGAAAACAGAATATAACAGAAAATAAGAAGGATTAAAACATTAGAACAGTATTTTTACCAGCATAGTATTTTTAATAATTTTTTCTATTTTCTTGACTAATTAAAGGGAAAAACTTGTTTCTGAGATGAACCTGTTTTTAAAAAGAAAACCAAACAAAATACCAAGCAGAATGATGTTTTCCCAACCCTAAATCAATTTGTAAGGAATATTTCTATAAGGTTTGCATTTAGGCATGACTAAAGTTGTGATTTTCACAATACTCATAAGACTAAAAATGTCAGTGCTCCAAATATATTCAATTATTAAATCTTCAAGAATGGCTTCAATGACTTTGAGCTCTTTTTTTCACAGCTTTTTATTCTAAAAACAGCACTGTGGAGCTGGTGCTGTAATGAATCTCATTTTTAACTGGGCTGAAACTAGGGTTCACCCTATTCACTAGGGTGAATAAGGCTTCTTTTATATATATATCCCATACTAAGGGGAGGATCCTACAGTACCTAAATCTCATGTAATTTTATGGCCTGTTGGGAGAGTCATGGTGTTTTCAATTTTAATGCAGCATTCTTTAAAAATTAAAGATTATTCCTGAGGGTCTTTAGCACAATAAGCAAATGTTAGTATAAAATACACTCTGTGTACACAGAATTACTGTAATACAGAGTTAGATCAGCAATAATTCAAAGAAAAGGATGCACAATGAAGAAGCTGATAGGAGACACAGGCCAGGCTTTGGGAAGCCTGACAGAATCAACAACATGACTAATGGTGTGAATCTCAGAGGAGAACACATTTTTGGGAAGTGCCACTTTAAAGATGACTGGTGAGAGCAGGAAAACTGATGACTTACTTTGTCAAAAACATCTCTGAATGTCCATGCAAGCAGAGAGCATTTTCAGGATATATGAAAATCAGATTGTTTTCTGGGCTGACATTAGTCACTGTCCATGGATCAGGCTGTGGGTTGTGTGTGCCCTTGGTGAGCTCATCTTTCCACAACTCCAAATATGTTGTGTGATATTGTGGCCGTAGACATCCAGTTCAGCAAATATTATTCAAGGTCAAACACTTTGAAACAATGTGGAGACAGCCACAGCTATCAGAAAAGTCTGGGTTTAATTACAGACTGCTCAGATAATTGACATTCACATTAGATTACTTCAGG